TGCAGAGTCACACCGTCAATGGGGATGGCACAGGCAGAGTCAGGACCATATTTGTAATCAGCCTCCACATGGAGATTGTAACTGTATTTGTGAGGTGGCTGGCCCGGACAGTGGGTGTGATGTGTGACCTGGAACCCAAGCCCATCTCTGGGTGAAGCGAGTAGTGCACAGAGGAATCAGACTCACAACCCTGACCTCAGTGAGGCGATGTCCCTAAACAAGCAATTGTAGGGCCCAAAAGGTCTTGTGCATTCAAAATATTGCCTAGGGTTTCCCCTTTCAATACTTCTATGAGTGCATCCTGCACTTTCCGGAAAGAAGACCATAAAGTCAGAACTTCTTTTTTTCCCCCACAGATATATTTTTTTTGGGAAACATGTTTGAACTAACTATTTTTTGAAAACCTGGTCATAGTATGTCTGCTCTCTAATTTCCTGCGTTACTTCTGACTTCCTAAGACGCTGCACACATGGAAGAGGTGGGAGGAATGACCTGGGCTTTGTGGCTTAAGATCTATAAATCAGACTTCACCAATCTAGGGCATAAGAGTGCTACCACTTGTTATATTAGTGAACCATCGTGCCCTGGCCCTAACAGGACTGTCAGACACTCAGCTTGGATGTACAAGTTAGTCTTGTGTCATGACCTTGAAGATTTCTAGGCACTGGCTAATGATACCTCCATCTCTGAGAGAAAGGGAGCAGCATTAGGGTGACCAGATGTCCTGATCACCCCATTCCCACTCCAAGATGATCCTGTGGAAAAATGAAAAGCTGTTTCTCACCAAAAAATCACGATGGCAAACATTGCTGGTTGCCAGTCTAAAAACTTCCTCACTGTCCCTCACATTCTGCATTCTTCCATGCCCGTGGAACCCTAATTTGGGTCTAGAACAGGTAGCAATGTGTTTTGGTAAAGTAGAACCTTCCTCAGTCCCAGAGAATGAGCAAAGAATGAGTGTACTTCTCTTCTACTGTGCTAATGTTTGGTTTGAGGATCTGCAACCCAGTTTCTGGTCAGTACTACTTAAGAGAAAATCTGCTGAGGGTTTCTGGGAGCGATATCCCCCTGCTGAAAAGGGAGCTGCACTAAGAGAAACCCAATAAACTTTCACTCCTTCCTTCTTGCTTTTAGATTTCATTGTTAGATGAGGCAGTAGTATTTGGAGACGTGGTAGTCAATTTATTGCAAAGGGAAGGCCAAGAGCATCTCTTTTTTTTTTTTTAATAAATTTTATTTTTATATTCCCCATACAATTGCAATCCCCTTATTTTGACCCCAATCCCTCCCCTCCCCACCCCCCACCCCCCATAGAGTGTCTTTGGTCCAAGAGCATCTCTTGAAGCTGACCTAGTCTCAGATGTCACTGAGCTGCGGCACTAACATGGAATCAGGGGAAGAATTCAGCCAGATATGCTGACGCAGCAGCAATTGTTTATAGCTGGGTTTTGCTCTGATTCATCAGGCACTGGTTCTGTTTTGTTAGCCCCTGCGCCATATTGATGGTTAAATATTTTGAATCTCACCCTTGCTCCTCTCTTGGAACCAATATCTCTGAATTTATTGTTATGTAATGAAAATAAGCCCTACTGTGTAAGCCACATTAATTGGATATTCAGTTGCTTGAAGCCAAAATCATCTTGATGCAATTCGGGATCATGGTTGTATCTGAACTATATATATGGGTATTTTACTTAGAGGGTTTTGGGGGCTACATTATCTCCCTGAGATGGTGAAAATAAAAAGTGGTGGAGGCAGGCTAAAGGCAAACTAATATCTCTCTTTGGCATGGAAAAGGAAGCTATCGCAGCTCTATCAGTGTTCTGTATCTGCTCTTCATGGACGGGTTGAGATAGAATTTATCTTCTTTGGTGAAAGTGAGAGATTTAGCTAACTTCTACCTAATCTATCTATTTGCTCTTTTGCTATACCATTTGATTAGCCATTTTGATAATGTCCCTTTTAGGAATGAGGCGTGGGTATCCATCAGTCAGCCAGACAACTAATCAGTCTCCTTGATACATGCCATTGGTACCAAGAGGTAACTCTAAGGAGATGGTGTATGGTCAAACTTGTCTTATATTTTAATTTTCTTTTTCTGTGTCCATATTCCCTGCCAGACTATGAACAATTCAATGGCAAGAATTGTATTGCTAAGATTGGAATAAGGTCTAGTTCATAAGCAGTATCTGATAGGTAGGTAGATAGATAGACAGTCAGACTATACTGTATACAAAATTATTTTTAAATGCATGTCCTACCAAGAGTAGATCACTTAATGCCACAGAATACCTTTCTCTCTGACTGATTGAAATAATTCTAATTAGGGCTATCAGAATATCTTATTTTTAAGCCAATATATTGAAAAATATACTCCAAGGGTATTTGCAGCCAGTCTTCTTCATGTGCTTTTTGTGGCATAGTTTGTCCCTTGAAAGCCTTTTTTGTGGGAAGGATGATGTTTCCTAAAGCAGCTCTCCTACTACATGTGAAGACGAGAAGTAAAAATATTCTCAGGCTTAAAATAAAGATTTTTCATGAATTCACTAAATAGTGTATTCAAACTAACTTTAAAAGCTGACTTAAAGAAACTAGATAAAAATATGTTTATATCTCTACTCATCATCTCTCAACATGTCAGCTCATCTGAAGCCTCCTGAGATCCACGCGAGACAGCATGTAAGCTGTTCTTTAGATGGCCATCTGAAGACTCATCAAATAGCAAGGTATGAAAAACAAAATCACCCCCAAAACTTTCATATTGCATTGATCTGTGGCATAAAGCCCTCGCCACAGGAAGTGAAGTGAGGGATTTGAGACCGCAGGAGGATTTGTTTAAAGTGGTCTGTATGTGTGTATGTGTGTGCTTTAATTTATGTAAGGAATTGCCCAGGAGTAGTAAATAGACTTTATTTGCTATATTTAGAGGAAGATAAAATTATCAGGACTGTCTATTTCAAAGCCAGAGAAAACAAAAACAGCTTTGAAGCCTCTCTTCCTGGATTTTTTTGTCCTAATCTTCTAAGAGACGGTCTTGATAATGTTTATTCTTTTCTTCTTTCTAAAACAGCTGAAAGTACAATTTTTCTCAGTCAAAATAGCAATCCAGTTTTTAATTAGGTCAGGTAAAATACCCATTGAGCACCTTGGATTATTGAAATGATTGCAAAAGGACAAGCAGGGATTTCTGGATCACTCTGCCACCTTCTCCTCAAGCCCCTCTCCTCCTCCTCTCCCTAACCCTGTGTCGCTGCCACCAGGAACACACACCCTGATCTTTGTGGGGTGGTTTCTCACTTCTGTTCATACCATCTGGGCAAGTTTTTCGCCTGCATTTCCCCAATAGTCCCCAAACAAGCCCTTTCCTGCAACTTGGAGAGCATTTATTGAGGTTTTTGTTTCCATGGGTGGGTGTGGGGAAAGGGTGGCGTAGCCAGGCGGTGTGCTGCCGACAGACTGAGGGGTGGGGTTTTCAGCTTCCACCTATTCACAAACATCAGTTTCTGACAAAAATCCCATTCAACAATGCGCCTCCATAGCCTGGAGCAGGTTAACAAACTTTTTCTGTAAAGGGTCAGATAGTAAATATTTCAGACTTTGTGAAACATTTGGGCCCTGCTGTAAATAATCAACTCTGCATAAAAGCAGCCGTAAGTAACTCGGAGCCAAATAGGCATGTTTGTGTTCAATCAACCTTTGTTTGAAAGAACAGGTAGTGAACCTGATCCTCTGGTTTGGAGTCCTCTCAGTGCTTCACCTGATGGGGCCTCAGGTCATAGTTTGTCGAGTGAGAGTGCCCTGCCTGCTTTCATGAGGAGCTGGTAAGCCCAGCCATGGCTCTTACCTTTAGGTAATACCTTTGCACCATCCCTCTGTGCCCAGGCCACACCTTTCCCTGACGGAGACCTGGAGTGGTAGAGCATGTGGACCATCAAATCAGTGAACTCACCAGCTGCCTTATTGAGTATCCACAAATGTTCTGCTTCAGTTATGGCCATTGTCTTCTCCCTATTCCAAAAATTCCATTCTTTGGTTTCCTCTCCACACTCTCAACTAGAACTAGCTTCCTGAAAGACCAAGCTCTAAGTTATTCATCATGGTTGATGAAGAAAGTCCAGGCGGGTCTGATCATGGCATTCAAGGCTCTTCATAAGCTGGTGACAGGCAGACATACCGTTTAGACATGGTACAATGGTGCCTTGGGCCTTGAACGTGTTTTAATTTCTTTTAAAATAGAAGAAAAAATAATATAATAATAATGAATAGATGAAAATAAATCGAGACAGAACTTTATTCATTTTTATTAAATTTGAAATCATATTTTAAATATAGCCTTTTAAAAAACATTCTTAAATGAAGGGACCCATGAAGGCTGACCTAGGGCTCTTTCTCAGGATTGGCATATAAAATACGGAATGCTCAGGGCCTCCCTGGTGACACAAGGGGTTAATCTCAGCATATGAAGTTTGTCCTCAGCCACTGTAGCATGAGTTCGATCCCTGGCCTGGGAGCTACCCACATGGTGTAGCAGATCTCTCCTGTCACTCCCGAACTGCTTCCTCCACAGTGTATTTCAGTCAGTCTGCCTGTTCTGTTCCCCACTCTGTCTCTGGTGAATCCTCACCCCCGCATCTCTGGCCTGTACTCCAGTTCTTGTATGCATAAAGAAATAAATTTTAAAAAATACAGAATGCCCAGTTAAAAGTGAATTTTAGATTGGGCCTCCCTGGTGGCCTAGAGGTTGAGTCGAAGCATAATCTCAGCTACAGCCTGAGTTCCGATCCCAAGCCAGGGAGCTAACCCACGTATGGTGCAACAGACCTCTCCTGTCTCGCCTTAGCAGTGTATTTCAGTAAATCTGCCTGTTCTACTCCCCATCTGTCTCTGGTGAATCTTCTTACCCCCTGCACCTCTGGCTTACACTCCAGTTCTTCTATGCAAAAGAAGTGAATTTTAGATAAACAATGAATATTTTTTACATATATAGTGTGTATGTATGTATATATGTGTATATATATATATGTGTATACGCACAATGTGTATATATTGCTCAAGTATTGCATAGGGCCTACTTACTCTAAAAGACTGTTTGTTGTGATCTGAAATTCAAATTAACTGGGCATCCTGTTTATCTGAAATTCAAATTTCTATTCGCTAAATCTGGCACTGCTGCAGGAAAGTCATTACGTGGCCCTGGTAAGCACCAAGTGCAGGCGCAGCCTTCTCTTCCTTGCTCCTTAAGCTAAATGTCTTAGGTTATATTCCCAGGAAGATGACCTTAAGATGAGGATTCCTGTGCAAATAATCTACTTAAAGAGGTACCCCCAGGGGCTACTAATAAGCACATGAGAAAAAAAGGCAGTGCAGGACAGGAGAGGGGGCCCGGGGAAGGTTGAAGTGCAGTCCTCTCCAAGGCCCTGCAGAGGGAACTTCAGCCTGACGCCACAGGGGAGTGGAAGTTTCACCTTGGAAATCTCCCAGTGACTCTTTGGGCAGAACAACACTGTCATGTATGCTAGGCCAAAAACAGAGGTTAGCCCAAGTTCAAGACTTGAGAAGAATAATCCTCTGATCCTGTTAACTTACTTTCGTTTGGTTTGACTTCTTATCCTATACATGAGCAGCACAAAGGAGAATGACGCCAAGCACACATGCTGGCATGAACAGGTGCTGCTCCTGTGGCCCACAGAGGTGGTCTTGACCTCAGGGAAGAGACGTGTACCTCCCCTATGGGGTGTGCTTACAGAAATGGCCTGGACTTGAGAGGCAACATGTCAAAACTTAAGGGTCTACCTTCTATCATAAACATTTTTTTTTCCTTTGCTACTATTATTAGTGCCACTTTTCTGTATCTTAACCCTTGCTGCACCATCACGACCAAGGACGTGACAACACCTAACAATGTACAGAACAGTATCAATTCCTTTCCCCTCTGTTTTGGGATCCTGACCTGTTCCTAGCTTTCTCCTTCCCCTTCTTTTCCCTTGCCCTATTGATGCTTGAAGTCTAGAGTTCAAGTGCCTCACAGACTGAGAAAGAGCCAGGAAAGGGAGGCCCGGTTTGGGTCCTGTCTGCCGCCGGGCTGTGCCGAAAAGGACGGACGGCGCTGACCAAGAGCACTGGGCAGCAGACATGAGGCGCCCCTGGGCGCATGGAACCAGAGAAGCTTAATAGGGCATAGAACGGACAACACATTCTGACCAAACTGGAAAGGCAACATTATTAAGAAGAGTCATAATGGAATATTCCTCCGGGCATAATGGGCAAAAGGGGATGAAGCAATAAAGGAACAACCATGTGAAGAAATCGAGTTTCATTTTCAGGGTGGGTCCTCAAAAACTCAGGCTCACTTTCTGATCTCATCGGTGAATGCTTAGTAGGGTCCTTCAGAAAGAAAGGTGCTCGGTGAAGGAGAAATGTTCCTTAGGTTGCTCCAGTTTCCTACCCCTTCCACTTGCTTTGGTGTCTGACTCCTCTCCATCTTATCTTTCACTACAGCCAAGTAAATAAAACGACTTGGAGAGATTCAGCAACAGCTGCCTTCCACCTCCAGTTTAATTCAGACATTTCCTCCTGTGCAAAAATAAATAAATGAATAAATAATTCCCAGGTCAATCCTGTAAGACAAATTACTTACTTTTTGTTTATTCCTTGAGCACCACATGGTGGGGGGAGAGGGGTGGTTTAGATGAGCTCCTCAGTCCCCACGGTCCAGTTAGGGAGACAGGGAAGTAAATAAATGGTCCCACGACGACATGTTAAGTGCTGCCACAAAGGGCTGAGCGGGGTGCTATGGGAACAGGGAGACGGAAGTGACTGACAGTCACAGAAGAATGCACACTTGAACTGAATCTTCAAGGATGGATCCGAGTTTGCCCAGATTGACAGATGGGTTCAAAATGTTCCAAATGGAGAGACCAGTGTGTACAAAGGTTCCGATGCACAGCTCAGCATGACTTAATGGAGGACTTGGTTTGGCTAGAATGCAGGGTATTTGGGGGAATAGCAGTAGCTGGCGCTAGAGAGAGAGGCTGTGTCCTGGTTACTTCATACCACAAATATTTACTCAGCACCAACAATGCACCAGAGATGACATGATAGTGGGTAAAACCGCTGGGGTCCTTACCTTCTCAGGGTATCAGGGTACACCCTTCATGGAGGTCCACAGGGAGAGAATCGATACCATGTCATGAAGTGCTGTTGGATGCTGTGTGAAGCGATGTGCTCCTTTTGCAGTGGGAGACTAGGAACTGTTGAAAGATTTTAAACAAGGACATGACATACTCATTTTGATATTGTGAAAAGTTTGTGGAAGGTGGAGTAGAAAGGCCAGGGAACCAGGTAGGAGGCTGTTACTGTGATAATCCTGGTGGGATATGATGAGGGACTGAATTAGGCAAAAGAGCTTTTTCAGGAAATGGCTTGGCTAGATAACCATATCCTGATTCTATGGCAGAGAACCCTCTTGTTTGTGTGTGGTAAAATATACATTTTTTTTGTGGTAAAATACCCATAAGAATTTACTGTATTAACCATTTTAAACATATCTTTTGCTAGCATTTAGTACATTCACAGAGTTATACACCTGTTACCACTACTTCATTCCAAAACTTTCATTGTTCTCATTCCAGAATTTTCATCACCTCAAAATGAAACCCTATATCTACTAGCAGTCACATATTCCTCCATTTCTTATCCCCTGGAAACCACTAATCTGCTTTCTGTGTCTATGGATTTACCGATTCTGAATATTTTGTGTAAATGGAATCTGATAATGTGTGGACTTCTGTGTCACTTAGCATAATATCTCCAAGGTCTATCCATGCTGTGGCATGTGTCAGTACTTCGTTCCTTTTTATGACTGAATAATATTCCAGTATATGGATGTACCGTATTTGCTTACCCATTCATCTTTTCCTGTTGTTTGTACTTTGTTGGCTATTGTGAATGATGCTGCCACGAACATTGATGTATAGGTTTTATTTTTTTAAGCTCCTGTTTTCAATTCTTTGAATGTGTACCAGGAAAACTATGGAGACACCTCCTTTTAACTTAAAGGAAAAGCCTTTTGGGTGAAAACAATGAAAAGATTTCTTCACTTGCCTAAGATAATGAATGACAGTAGTTGTGTTCCTTTTAGTTTGTGATTTTAGCGGGAACAATTTCAATCCTAAACTTCTACTTAATACCTGCCTCCCTCTCATTAGCATGAAGCGATGTCCAGGTGGAGCCTGAGTTTTCTGAAGTAGTCACAGGGGTGAGTTGGCTTGGACTACTTGATTTAGAGACATATGGTCAAATTTCTTGACTAAAACAGGATCCGTATTGTCAATCCTGATTTCCTGTCTAGATTATTCAAGGAAGACCTGAGGGGACCAGTGTTGATAATTAGAGATTGTCAGCTTTTGACCTCAGCACCTGCTTTAGGATACAGGATGATTACTATTTCATGGCCATTTGGAGGACAAATACAACACGATTTCTTCTGTTAGCCGTCACATGGTCTTCTGGAATGACTAAATTAAATTTAGAAATACTTTAGCCATCTTAGTTTTATATATGGGCTTGGGGAGAGAGAAATAGTGCCTAAGAGACTTATGACTCAATCAAATGATTCAGTTGTAGAGACCCAGAGGTGAATCTCAAGGTCCCCCTGGAAAACCATGACACAATTGTCAGCTCTGATGCCACTCTAGTGGCACCACTGTCAGATCAGATTTTTCTGGCCCTTTGCCTTCATCTTTTCTCTCCATTATCCCAGAGGAACCAAAGGGAACCTACCATGCGGGTAGAGGTGATAGGAAATGCTCTCCAGGGGACATCAACAGGCACACTTGCTGTGGATTTCTGGAAGCTCCATTCCAGGATATCAATTTCTAGAATTCAGTAAGAAGGAAATCAAATATGATGAAAGTCATTATTTTTCTTTTAGATAAGCATAAATTATTCAACAAAGACCCAAATTCTGTTTTATTTTAGCTTCAAACTTATCTAGGAGAAGAAACGTTTATTTCCCTTTGTTTCCCTTTTCTTTTTGTCTCTTATCTTGTCTAGAGGAGAAGTATGAACTCATCTTGTTCCGTGGTACAAATGCTGAGTGTAATGGTCACCTTTAATTATGGGCGAACTGACCATGGGCCAGGGTGCTAAACATTGTGCTATTTACATCCTTCTTTTATCTATCATGAAGAATAAATTTATGCTTCTTCGGCCTGAAAATGACAAATCATCATTGCCAATGGAGAAAAAAATACATGACTTTCCGGCATGATCTCATGCCCACTGGTCAAAAGAATGTTAGTGGTCTAATCAGCTACATGCCGATTCTGAAGTCTGACCTTAACATAGAAGATGGGGAGGTAAATTTCTTTCTGAACCTGTGTAGGGAAGGAGTGAAGGCAAGATCACAATGGGGTCAAGGAATTAAAGCAAGGTGGATTTGAGCCTGTGGCTTGATGGAGAGCTTATGTAAGTTACTCCACACTTTCCAAGGGCTGTGTTAGTCCCTCGTGATGAGGGTCTTCTAGAAGCTCAGTCACTCTTGGGGGTGGCTCAGGCCCCATTAATTGAGCTGAAGAAGGTGACTTCAACCCTCAGGGAGAGAGGGTCCTCAAGTGTCTGAGATCACTCTACTGGGAGGCAGTAACAATGTTGACCTGAGGACTGATGTCAGATTTAATTTTTCTGTCAAGGGCTCCCTAAGCCTGTGATGAAATACATCTCAGAGGCTAAATTAACTCTTGCTGTTGTGATTGTCATCCCCAAGATAAGGTCTCCTGTGATCATTCATAACACTGGGTGCAGCCACCCTCCACTAGGCGTTCTCCCCACCAGTGAAGGATGATTGGTTTGATCTGTATTGGCATGATAATCTATGACTCTCTCTCTTAGTGTTAATTCATCTCCCATGACATTTGGCTTCAGACCTAGGATGCAAAAGGGAAGAAAGAAAAAAAAATCTTACCTGTATGTATCCACAGTGTGTCTAAGTATATCCTAAATATTTTGACTGGCATCACTCAGCAAATACAGTAACTGTTTCTCTGGAAAACCCTGACTAATACATACCGGAAGTCCTCAGAAGCTCATTGCCTTAGTAATGGGCATAAATCAACCTTATACTAAAGACTGTTCTTGATGTACTTTAACAAAGATTAAAATCAAGCTTCAAAAGGATTCAATGATTCCAATTAACTGCATGCCAGAAAAATTAACACTTTTTAAAGGAGTATAAGAAATGTAGCATTTCCCAATATAAATTTTACAATGTCTGACATTCAATAAAGAATTACCAGGCGTAAAAGATTCAGGGAAATAGGACCCACTATCAGGAGAGAAAAATTAATCAATGAATGCAAACATACCTATAAATAATAGAAGTGATGGAAGTAGCAGACAAAGACATTTAAACATGAATTATATATATGTGCATGTGTGTGTATTCAAAGAAATACAGGAAAAGATGAACAGAAAATATAAGAAGAAACAAAATTAAAATTTTAAGAATGCTTATCTGAAATGAAAATTATACTGAATTGAATTTATAGCAGATTAAAGAGAAAGAAGAAAAGGTCTATAAACTTGAAGACACAACAGAAAGTGTTCAAAATGAAGTCTGTAAAATAAAAAATTGAAAAAGTATCAGACCATAGGACAATATCAAGATACCTAACATGCATGCAATTGGAGTCCCTAAAGAAGAGCACCAAGAGGGGGAAATATTTGAATAGATGTTAAATTTTTCCTTCAAATATGAAGAAAACTCTAAATCCATGGATCTGATAAGCTCCAACTCAATAACAACCACATCATGACACATACTACTTTATTTTATTTTTAAGATTTATTTATTTAGGGCCTCCCTGGTGGCGCAGCGGGTTGAGCACCATGCTGTGAGGCTATTTGTAGCCTTTGCAGCAGGAGTTTGATTCTGGCTGTCCAGGGAGTAACCCACATAGTGCCCCTGACCTCTCCTGCCTCAACCACTGCTGCCCTCAGCGGTGTCTTCAGTCCATCTGCCTTTTCTGCTCCCTGCTCTCTCTCTAGTGAATTCTCTCACCTCCCATGCCTCTGACTGTACCCCAGTTCTTGTATAAATAAACAAATCTTTTAAAAAAAAAGATTGTTAAAAAAAAGTTTTATTTATTTATGCTTACAAGAGCTAAGGCACATACAAGAGATGTGGGGTGAGGGAGGACTCACCAGAGACAGAGTGGGGAGCAGAATAGGCAGAGAGACAGAGTGGGGAGCAGAATAGGCAGATGTAGTGAAATGAGGCTTTTGGTGGTATGTATGAGGTGGTATATACAACTGTTGAAGTGTTAACATGTACATCTGAAACTTACAGTGTTGTAAGCCAATCTTACCTCAAAAAAAAAATTGGATTTATAGTATATGTCAAAGTAAATGATGTGACAAAAATAGTACATAATGGAAAGAGAGACATGGAAGTATACTGTTAAAAGGCTTTTACACTAAATGGGAAGTGAATTAATATTACTAAAGATATATTAAAAATCCAGGTGAATCACTGTATAAATAGATAGATAGATAGATAGATAGATAGATAGATAGATAGATAGATAGACAGATGGACAGATAAATAGATAGACAGACTGACCTATGAAGACAGTAGTTTATATTAAAATGCAATCATTTAAAAATAATCAAAGAGCTTGCCTGGTGGCACAGGGGTTAAAGTCTTAGCACTATCAAGGTATCACCGACCACTGTGACATTAGTTTGATACCTTGCCGGGGAGCTAACCCACATGGCACAGCAGACCTCTCCTGTCTCACTCACTGCTCCCCTCAACAGTGTATTTCAGTAGATCTGCCTGTTTTGCTCCCTATTCCATCTCTGGTGAATCCTCTCACCACCTGCACCTCTGGCCTACACCCCAGTTCTTGTATGCATGAATAAATGAAAATAAATTTTTAACAAAACAAATAAAAATAAAAATAATCAAGCAGTCCAAAAGAAGGGAAGAGAAGAGTATCAAAAGAACAAAGAAAAGCTTGTGCAAAGAGAAGACAAATAGGAAGCTAGATTTAAACCCAAGCACATTGATAACTGCATTAAATATAAATGGTAAACACTTGAACTAAAAGACAGAGATTTTCAACTGGGGGGAAAAAGATAAGATCCAAACTATGCTATCTAGAAGAAATCCTCTTAAATACAAAGATAGGTTAAGAGTAAATAGATGAAAGAAGAAATATCATGAAAATATTACTATCAGATTAAGAATACTTTAGAACAGGGCCTCCCTGGTGGTGCAGGCGGTTGAGCACTGCACTGTGAAGCTGTCCACAGCCTCTGCAGCATGGGTTCGATCCCTGCTGGCCAGTGAGAAACCCACAAGGTGCGGCAGACCTCTCCTGTCTTGCCTGCTGCTCCCCTCAGCAGTGTGTTTTGTCAGACTGCCTGTTCTGTTCCCCACTCTGTCTCTGGTGAATCCTCTCACCCTCCCGTGCATCTGGCCTGTACCCAGGTTTTTGTATAAATTAATAAATCTTTTTAAAAAACCTGATAAATTAGGTAGAGGATGGGGAGAAGAATATATAGAAGGGTCACAGTGAACTATGGTGGAGTACTATGGGTGCTATGGTAACATGCACCTGAAGAGGTGTGGTCCTGTACCTCTGAATCATCACAGTGCCATATATCAAAGTTACCTCAATAAAAAAATACTAGTTTTACAAACTGATAAATTGAATAAAGAAATAAGCAAATCCACCATTCTGTTTGGAGAATTCAACATGTATAGGGTAGCTAAAGCAGTGCTTACAAGGTAATATACAACATTATGCTTATGTTAGAAAAGAAGGAAGAACTCAAAGCAATTATCTAAGCTTCCACTGTAAGAAACTAGAAAAAAGAACAAATTGAATCCAAAGTAAACTGAGGGAAGGAAATAATAAAGATAAGAACAGAAATTCTGACATACAACCTGAATAAACAATAGAGAAAAATCAATGAAACCAAAAACCAGTTCTTTGAGAAGATCTGTAAAATTGGTAAACTTATCAGACTAATGAAGAAAAATGAGAAAGAAGACATAAATTATCAACAGGAATAAAAGACTTCCAGGAGTAGAAATTACTATGATGTATCCTATAGGCATTAAGGGATAATAAAGGAATATGATGCCAACTTGATGCCAACAGAGCCAAGTATTTAAGTGAAATGGATACATTTATTGAAGGACATGTCATGTATCATCAAAGCACACACGAACAAATAGGTATCCTGAATAGCTCTAAATCTATTATAGAAATAAATATCCCATAAATAAAATGCCAGGTCCAGAAAGCTCTGCTAATGAATTCTAACAAACACATAGGAAGAAATAATGCTGGTTATGCATGGTCTTTTTAGAAAATAGACGATGAGGGAATCCTTCCCGGCTTGTTTCTATGAGGCTAGCATTACCATGCTATCAAAACCAGACAAAAACATTACAGGAAAACTATACACCAATATTCTTCATGAACATAGAAACAAAAAAGCCCAAACCATTTATAAAACTATATAAATTCAGGAGTAGTCACACCTTGACGTTGCATACCCTTCACACACCTGCCACCAGAGTTCTAGAGCCACTTAACACTATTGCATTGTCTCCTCTTCTCCTTGCTCCCCTCTGGTAACCACGATATTTTTTTGCAGTCAATGAGTTATTATTATTTTGTTTTACTAGTTTGTTTTCTTCAATATTTATATTGCACAAATGAATGAAACCATCTAGTTGTCTTTCACTTTCTGACTTATTTCACTTAGCATAAGCACACCAAGGTCCAGCCATCTTATCACAGAAGGCATGCTTTTATTTTATTTTAATAATTGAGCAGTATTCCACTATCTATATACACTA